AGAACGAGGGGCAGACATGAGAGAACGAGGGGCAGACCTGAGAGAACAAGGGCCAGACCTGAGAGAACGAGGGGCAGACATGAGAGAACGGGTGAGGGTCTGACAGGAGCCTGCAGCGCCCTCTGATGGCTGGATGTCAGAATTAAAGTTGTTTATTTAGAATTTAAAACATTTTCCTTAATGAAAAAACATTAGTCTACTTTTTCTAATGGACCTGAACCGGTTCTGGTTCTGCCTCATGTTTTGATGTGTTCTCTCTTTCCACCTCCTAGACCTCCTTTTTCTCGCTCGCCCGTCTTCCACCAGTCCTGGCAGGGGGGTCGACCTGCCCTTTCTCCTTCCCCTCACCCTCCTCACCCCTCCCAGCAGGGCACCGGGGCTCAGCAACTACGTGCTGTCCAGACCGCCCCAGAGCATTATGGGTAGGTTTGGCTCGTGACGCTCTGCTGCAGATCAAGGGAACGGTCAGAAACAAAGAAAACTTTCTGTTGAACGTTCGGTCAAAACTTGTGATTTGTTTTGATCCAAGTTCCAGCCTTTACTTCCTGCAGTCATGAAGCTCACGTGTTCCCTCTGGAACACGGTTAAACTGAACGATCTGTTCCAAACCCTGAAGAGCATCAGGACTGTTAAATGTAACGCCTCTTATCTGCATCCAGCAGGAAATGTTGCGTTCAGATAAAAAGGATCAAAGATTTCACTTCCGTTTAAAACGTCTCCCTGCGTTGTGTAACAGGACGGACCTGAACGTCACTCTGCGTGCCGAATGGTTTCAGTCAGCTGATCTGAAGTTGTTCTATTAACAGAACCCATCGTTCTAACAGCTCAGAACCTGGACTCAGGTCTCCCCGACGCTCTTTGCTTGTCTCAAAGTAAATTTGTAACAAACTTCTTTCTTCTTCTGTGGTGTCCAGGCAGGGCAGCTATTCAGGTATGAAGGCCATGGGAGGTCCTGGAGGTCCTGGAGGTCCCTACAGCCACCAACCAGGCAGCAACTCTGGGAGGATGACTCCACAGGGACCCCCCTACAGTGCTCCTGGTATTCTGAAATAATAAATATAAAATTAACAGATGTTGTGTTTCGAAGGTTTCAGGGATAAGTTTCACATTCTGCTGGGTTTTCCTTTCAGGTCTCAAGATGATGTCAGCAGACCTGATGAGTCCTCACGGAGACGTCAAGCTGAGGATCGAGCTCAGCAGAGAGGGTGTGGGTCCTACTGCTGACCCACCCAGACCCAAGGTTTCTTTCACATCTTCATTAACCAGTCGCAGTGGCTGTTTACCTCGTTAACTAATCACGACTGCTGTTTACCTCGTTAACCAATCA